GGGGCCATGGATATAGCTCAGTGGCACAGTACCCGCCTGGCAAGTGTGAAGTCATGAGTTCAATTCCTGGTACCAAAGAAAAAGGAAATGTGGCATTTATACACTACTCTACCACAAAGAAGGGTAAACAAGCCATTTGTAGGAAAATGGATGCACTTTGAGAACGTATGTTAAATAAATCAGAGCATATGTTAAATAAGTCTTCTCTTTTTTTTTTTTTTGGTCTTTGAGACAGAGTCTTACTACACATTCAGGCCGGCTTTGAGCTCACTTTGTAGCCCAGGCTACAAACTTGCACAATCCTCCTATCTCAGCCTCCCGAGTGCTAGGATTACAGGCATGTGCCACCATGCCCAGCCCAAAATAGTGTCTCTTAACAAGAAACCCAAAATTAAAGAGCAAAATAGAAGACAGTGATAGGAAGCAGGGCAGCAGACTGTGAAAATAAAAAGGGAATCTGGGATTGAGGGGAGACAGGAGAGTGTAGAGAAGAAGAGCAAGTAAAAATGACTCAGACATGCCATGTGGGGTGGCTCATGCCTGTAATCCCAGCACTCAGGAGGCTGAGGCAGGAGGATCGTTGCGAGTTCGAGACCATCCTGGGCTACAAAGTGAGCTCAAGACTACCCTGAACTGCATAGTGAGACCTCGTCTCAAAAAAAGACCCCCCCCCAAAAAAATGACTAAGACATGATATATATACCATTTCCTCAAGATGGATGTAATTATTATGTATCACAAATGTAAACTAATAAAAACTACATTAAAAGAATAAAAGTAGGTGCTGGGATACAAACAGACTCTGAAGTTAAAAGTCAAAACGAAATTGCCTTGCCAACAAATTGCCCAGCTTTGAGAAAATCTACAGAATTCTGTGCCATGTTGACCAAACTATTGCTGGTCACTTGCATGGCACTAATAGCAAATCGGGCACAGTGCGGGGAAAACACAAACTGTCATTGATACACGCATGCAAGATGAATAAAACTTACCAGAGCTTGTTTTTTGTTGTTGTGCTGTGCTGTGCTGTGCTGTTTTGAGACAGGGAGTTGCTGTGTAGTTCAGGCTGGCCCTGAACTTGTGCCCAAACTCATGAGTCCTCCTGCACAGCCTCCAAAATGCTGGGATTACAAGCATACACCGTAACTACCACCACTCTGGGCTAAGAGCTTGTTTTTTAAAAAGAGAGAGAGAAAGGGAGGAAGGGAAGGAGAAAAGATAAAAGAGGGAAGAACTAAAAAGAATAGAAAGATAGCCAGGCATGGTGTCACATACCTGTAATCCCAGGGCACTGGGAGGCTGAGCAGGAGGATGATAAATTTGAGACCAGCCTGGGCAATTAGTGACTTAATACACTGTCTCAAATTAAAAAATAAAAAGGGCTCACTGCCATTCTATCCCCAGTACTAAAAAAGAAATGGTTAAGCCAGATTGAAATCAGTCACTGGAAAGAAATGACAGCAGTGAATGGTCCCCTATAAGATCTCTTCACTTCAGAATGATGCCCAGGCATCTGTCTGACTGGAGATAACAAAACTGCCCATCTGCTTTGGGACCCTGGGCAAGCAAGTCCCCTGCCTGCTCAGGCCGTTTGCCCACCTGTGCAATGAGAGTATAAGCGAGGACATCGTGGCCTCTCAGGGCTGAGCAGTCGACTCAGGTGTGACCCCCTCCATCCTTCTCTTTGGGCCAGGCAGCCATCTGCAGAGAAGGTGGCCCTCACACCAAGCCAGTCTTAGTGCCTAACAAAGCCCGATTGAAGTGAGAAGACCTGACCTTGCATGCTTAGCATGTTAATTGTTCTATTGTCATTCATGTGGGAACCACAAAGACCTGGGGTTTATCTCTTTCACTCTTCTTCCTCTACAGCTGCCCTGTAGTGCCTGCCTCCTGGGCTTTTTTATATGATTTAAAACTTGCCACTTGATACCCCCACACTATTTTACATCTAACATCCACTCCTTACTGAGCTTCTGTTCTGCAGTGGCTGACAGGAATTACAAATGCAACACAGATAAACTGGTTCTGAGCCAGACCTCTCACCTTAGCAGAGTATGGCCTTGGCCACAGCTGGCCAGAGGAGGCCTTCTTTTACTGCCTTTTACTGATCCTACTAGATTAGGATCAGTTTGGATGCTGAAAGTGTAGTTTTTGGGAAATTGGGATAATCTTAAACTTCTGATTCTGTTGCTAATAATAGCAGTTTCAGACCCTGCAGCTTTTGTTAGCAGTTTTCTTTTCTGATCCCTTTCTTTTTACTATTAACTGTAGATTTTAGAGTTCTGGACAGCAGGAAGCATGTAGGGCACTCCCACCCAACCTGGTGTCATGTGGCCAGTGGTTTTACTGCAGTCAGACTCACCGCTGCCCCTTTCTCTCCTCTCTTCTTCCTCAGACACAATGGGAACATTCTTTTGGACGCAGAAGGCCACATCATCCACATTGACTTTGGTTTCATCCTGTCCAGCTCACCACGAAACCTGGGCTTTGAGACATCGGCCTTTAAGTTGACCACAGAGTTTGTAGATGTGAGTCAGGAAGGAGCAGCACTCCCAGGGTTACTGTATTCTCTGCCTTGGAGAGGGAGGTAATGGGCTCCCTCCAAGTTAGGAGTGGACAGAACAGGCATAGCAGTAAGTCTGGGTGGAACAGGACTTCTGGGTGCTTCCTGTCTGGAAAGGGGTGGGGAAATATCGGAGTTTGGCCCAGTTGCCCCAAGACAGGAGGCCTGTGAGAAAGAAACCATTGCCACATCATCCCCTTGGCCCTTCCCAGGTGATGGGCGGCCTGGACGGTGACATGTTCAACTATTACAAGATGCTAATGCTGCAAGGGCTGATTGCCGCACGGAAGCACATGGACAAGGTGGTGCAAATTGTGGAAATCATGCAGCAAGGTGGGGCTGGATTCCCACTCAGGTTGGGGGGCTGGTGCTTAGGACTTCCAGACTGGCGGAGTGTGGGAATCCACAAAGGTTCCCAGGAGATCCCAAATGAGACTCAGTGCCATTGCTTTCTCCTTCAGGACAGTTCCTCCTGACATTGGCAGAACTGGGCCTGGAGAGGGCTGAGGGCAGCAGTAACAGTGTCCTCAGCACCCTGGGAGCAGAGGTCCACTTCCTAGCCTCCCAGTCCTCTTCTGCCCTTGCCCAGCTCTTTAAGTTTCTTGGTTTCCTCCCTCTATCACCTTCCGTTTTACCACCTGAAATGTTCCCTCCCCGTCCTACTTTGACTCTGATTCCCCTGGCCTGGCCATTCTCATCAGGCAGCCTTCCTTTTGCCATCCTGCTCTGAAATTTTCCATTGTTTGGGGTTTTTTGTTGTTGTTTTTGTTGTTTTGAGTCAGGGTCTCACTATGCAGTTCAGGCCTTGAGCTCACTTTGTAGCCCAGGCTGGTCTCAACTTGTAAGGATCCTCCTGAGTGCTGGGATTACAGGCTTGTGCCACCATGCCCAGCTCCTGTTATCTTCTTCCACTGCTGTTTCCTCCTTGCCTTGATACCTGTAGTCTTTTGCCTGCTTCCCCGCCCTTGTCCTTCATTGCTCTTCCTCAAGACACCAGGTGGATACCAGATCTAAGCTGCCAGTCTCCCCACCCCACAGGTTGTCGCTGTTGCACAGGAGCCTCCCTGTCTGGCCCCGTGATGACGGTGGCCCAAGTCATCTGTGAGTGTCAGACGTAGCATAGGCAGAGTCCTACAAGCAGATAAGTGTGCCCAGCTCAGGGCCCGTGCCCAGCCTTCCCTCAGGACCAAGCCTGCTCCCTTGGCCCCTGCTAGGGGAAATGGCATGGACCCTCCCTCCTCTGCCCACACCCCTCACCTACAGAGGGTAAAGCTTAGGAGTGTGGGATGGAAATGGGCACCACAGGGCTGCCCACTAACCCTGTCCTCTACCCCAGAACTACATCCATATTATCAGGAAGCTGAGGTGGGAAGGATATCCTTGGTACCCCTAGCTTTGTATCCCATCCCCATTACTACCATACCACCTTTCTATCTGTGCATGACCCTCAACACCCAACTGTTTTCCTCCAGGTTCGCAGCTTCCTTGCTTCCATGGCTCCAGCACCATTCGCAACCTCAAAGAGAGGTTCCACATGAGCATGACGGAGGAGCAGCTCCAGCTTCTCGTGGAGCAGATGGTGGATGGCAGCATGCGGTCCATCACCACCAAACTCTATGACGGCTTCCAGTACCTTACCAACGGCATCATGTGACCCCCTGCCTCAGGCTCAGGCGCAGTGGGAGATCCAGGCTGCCTTCATGGGAAGCCCTTGCCTGAGAAATCCCAAACTGGGAAACCCCACGTACTCAACCAACCGCCCAAGGGAAATGGAAGGCAAGAAATACAAAGGATCATGTAACTGCGAGAGCTGGCCAAGGGGCAAAAAGCCAGCCATAGGGTCCAGAACTGTGGGGGCTCCCCTGGCCCTGCTATATCAGTATTACCACCAGGCAGACCCCAAGACTCACTGCGCTCCAAAGAACTAAGGTGATGAATGTGGGGGCTCAGGGCCTCTCTCCCTTTGCTGGGCTTTGAGAGGCTTTTTCCATGAGCTACACCCTTGTCCTGGGTCCCAGGAAGGGGATTGAGTAGGTTCTTGGTACTTAAAACTCGATCCTGTGGTTGGCTTCAGCCATGCTGCTGCCCAACTCAATCCTCCCTGGAACTGAGCCCAAACCAATTGGACCCTGCACTTGCTGAGGTCTCCATCATCAGGGCAAGGGAGGAAATAACCACAGTCCCTCAGGTATACTGAGGGTATTGGCCTAGCCATGGGGAATACTTCCTGATCATTACACCCAGGAAATAGCTCTCGATTTTTTAATTTCTGTTTGAAATAAAGTCCTTAGTTAGCCATCTGTGTTGTTGTGGGATGGGGGTGGGGGAGGGGGACAAGACAGGGAAGGGGGTTGCTTGTTCCCTGTCAACTGTAACAGCTCTCCTGGAAGGGCCCCCATACCAAGCCCACATCATCCAAACCACATAGAGACCTGCGTAGGGATTAAACCATGAGCAGTTTTAATGGTCTGGTTTTCTCCCAGTTAGTATTATTACTGTAAGAATAAAGGATTCCTGAGAGCCTGTCCCCTCTTCTGTCTGGGCTCCCTTGACAGGACTCATCCCCACCAACCCCCCCACCCCCGGATTTCTGGGGAAAAAGAAAACAAGTGAAAGGCACTGCAGGATGAGGGGCTTGAGTGCCAGGGAGTACAGGGTGGTAGGGCAGGGCCCAGCCCAGAAGAACATGTCTGCCTGAATAAAGGGTGGAGATTGTTGCAGTCCTATCCTCCCACCTGAGTTGCACACTGGGGGTCTGCAGCAGTAGCATGATTAGTGTTGGGTTCTGCGAGCAGGAATAGAGGGCCCAATCAGCCAGGACCAAGGGCCAAACCCAAAGGAGAACTGCAAACTGCTGGGATCCTCAAAAGCTTTTCCTTCAGGTTTGGGAGAGGGACTGAACACAAAGTGTTGTGACACCCCCAATCTAGGGACAAGCCAGCAGCAGCAGTGAAACAAGGCTCCCAGGGAGGTCGAGCTGGTCAGGCCCAGGGCCTAGTTGTCCCCACTGCCCCCCTGCCGAGCCCTGATGAACGCCATGCCATGTGTTCGGAAGTGGGTCTTGAGGTTGAGAGGGCTGTCACAGCTCTTCCCACAGACTTTGCAGGTCAGTGGGCCTCCAGAAGTGGGCAAGGGACAATCAGCACCCTCTGGGTCAGCCCCAGACAGAGAAGGGGACTCTTCCTCCCCAACCCCCAGCCCCAGGGCACTGGATCGCCCCCCACCGCGTCTCTTCTTATGGCTAATGAATCTGTGCCGGCTCAAAGAGCCAGGAGAGGCAAAGCACAAGCCACAGTCGAGGCACTGCTGGGTACCACCATCCACCCTTAACCCTATGAGGCTCTGATCGGCCAAGCCACTGCGATAGCGCAAGGGACCGTGGCCTCCTGACCCAGGGCCACCTCTAAGGGGTTTTGCTGGTGGTGTGGTGCTGTCAGGTTCCTCACTGCATGAATCAGAAGACTGGCGGCGTTTTCGTCCTGGCCCCTGGGAAAGGAGAACAGTTTTACCATCACCCTGGCAGTCTCCACCAGCCTTACCCTGGCAACCTAGGGCCAGGATCTGCCCAGCTTTTCCCACTGCCACGGCTGGCACACAGCAGGCTGGGCCACTGCCTACCTGGGCTCTAGTACCAGGCCCCCGAGCCAGGGTGCTCCCTCTGCCAGGGGACTGGGCCCCAAGTGGCAGGCCATGCCGGACCTGGACGTGTTTCTCCAGGATCAGGCGGCTGCTGAAGGTACGCTTTCCCTCTGTGCAGTACCTGCAAGGGAGAGGCAAGGTGACAACAGTGGTGGCCCAGCACCAAGGCTTGTCAGAGCAGCCTGCACTGGTGGGAAGGCACAAGGGGGCAGGAAGGCAGAGGCAGGGGATGGGGATAAGGCTTACCTGCACGGGTACACTCGCTTGATGCCCTCATGATTGACCCTGACATGGCGTCTCAGGCTGGGGGCGGAGCAAAAGGAGCGCTCACAAAGGCGACAGGGGAACTTCTTCACTGACTGAGAATGGGATGGGGAGACTTCAGAGACAGCTCCAGAAGGCCACCTCCAGTGACACACAGGTGACCTCATCGGGTGCACTCACCTTGCCATGCTCCTTCTTCATGTGAGCCACATACTCATCACGCTCAGGGAACCAGGAGTGACAAAGGCCACAGGTCCAGCCCCCAGGCCCACCACCCCCACCCTTGATGCCTTTGCTCCCCAGTTCCCGCCGGGGCCGTTTGGCTGGGCGCCGGCGGCGCTCAGGGGAACTGGGCAGCTCCTCCTCTTCGGAGGATGAAGACGACTCCTCAGTCACAGGGGCTGCCCCTCCGTGAGACACAGCTAGCTCCTCAGGCTCAGTCTTGGGTGTCAGAAGGGCACCTCCTGCCCCTTTCCCAGGGCTCTCCTCCTCCAGGCGCCCAGACTGATGGGTGTTCTGTGAGAGGAAGACATGGAAATGGCTGTGGGGAGGGCTCAATTCTAGCAAAGTTTCTCCCCTGCTGCCCACTTCCTGAGGGCTCTGTGTCCCTAGCCCAGTGACCCAGCTCGTCACCCTACCCCTGGCCTTTGTCCCTATACCTTGAGATGTTCCAGCATGGTCCTTTTTTGAGCAAAGAGCAGAGGACAAGATGGGCACTTAAAGACACTGACACGCTGGGGCAGCAAGTGCTGGTCAAAGTGTGCGGAGAGGAGGGGTTTGTGAGTGAAGACTGTGTCACACATGGCACACTTGTAGATTAGCCTATGGAGGGAGCAGGGACAGTGCAGATGCCAGCAAGGGATGAGGAGTGCCCTGTCCCACCCTGGCCTGCAGCCACCCCCTGGCCCAGTCTCACTTGGCTTGCTGGGTGAGGAAGGTCGGATGCTGAGAGTAGAGATGGGCATGGGCGCTGGGTGCAGACTTGAAGGCCATGGGGCAGATGGGGCACTTATGGAAAACTTCGCAGTGTGATGTCTGGATATGGGACTTAATGGAGTTCACACCACCAAACACCACTGCACAGCTGGGACACCTGGGGGAGCAAATGGGTAGTGTCGTAAGGGGGAGCATCCCCATGCACACTCCCCCTCAAGGCCCAAGTGGACATGGGAAAGGGATGGGTGGTGGAACATGGCGTGCAAGAGAAAGGAGGCAGCCACACAGGTCCAGTCCCTGAGACAGGCTGTGGGGCACAGCTGGAGCTCCAGCCGGCCCTGTTCTCCCTATGCTTTGGAGAACCGCTGGTAGGCAGAGTACCGCAGAGGCCGAGTTCTGCCAATGACACAGGACTGCAACACAGGAAGACCAGGCTCTCCCCAAGAAGCCATCAAAAGGCTGGCACCGACATGAGACCCTTGAGCTCTGCCAGGCATGGAGATGAGGCACCTGTATCCCACACGACGAGAAAAATGCAGACAGGCCTCCCGCAGGTGGGTCTGGAAATTGGCTTGCAGAAAGTTGCCTCCACATTCAGGGCACACGTGAGGGGCTCGGTTCTTATGCGTGCGCTGGTGGGCACTGAAGCTGCATCGATTGGGGAGCATCATGGGGCAGGACGGACACACCTGTCAGGGGCACAAGCAAAGTGAGTCAGTGAGGGGGGTGGTTCCGGCCTCACATCCCCTAGCCAAGTACCTGATATGTTCCTGAACCCCATCCCTGCAGATTCTAGGGGTCCCCTCCGCAGAAGACTGTGAATGGGGACTCACATTGCTGTTGGACCCTGGGGCCGAGGGACCAGACTGCTGGAAGTGGGCTGCCATGCCAGCCTTGTCCCGGCACTGCTGCTTGCACTCCAGGCAGCGGAAGCACGTGTATGCAGAGGTGGCAGGGACAGCAGGTGGATCTGTGGACAGTGGCAGCACAGGGGCCTCCGTGGCAATTGCAGTAATGGCAGAGGTAATGGCTCCCTCAACCTTGCCCAAGACAGGCAAGACGAGAGGTCCAGGAGCAGACGGCACAGCCACAGGCAGCAGAGGCGTGATGTCTGGCTGCCCCACCATCTGGTCAAGGGCTACGGGCCTCATGACCAAATGTGAGCACTGCATGACGAGCCCCTTGTCCTTGTGCTCCCGTGCATGCAAGAGCAGACTGCACTTGTTAAAGAAGACCAGACGACGGGCGCAGTGATTGCAAGTGACCTCAATGCGCATGCTCCGGCGGTCATAGTGCCTGGCCAGACTCTTTTCTAGCGAGAAGGCATCCCCACACTCCAGGCAGCGGTAGCCGGTGGGTGGTAGAGCCAGCCCAGCCTCAGCAGGTGGACTCAGGTTGGGTCTATAAGCAGGCAGCAGGTTCTTGCTGTTAAGGATCTTGTTGAAGGCCTCCACTAGGCTGGACTGGGTCCGTGAGATCACTGTTCCACTCGCTGTGCCCAGGCTGGCAACTGGCTTTGAAGGCTGCACCATCACCACTGAGGCACCATTCAGCTTCTGACCTCCCGTCCCCAGTCCGCCACACCCCTCAGCTTTGGGCAGAGTTTGGGGCACCAGACCTAGAACATTCTTAGCCATCATCTTAGGGCTGGTGGCAGATCCTCCAGGCAGAACCACAGCTTTTCGGGCAACACTTGCTGCCATCAGCATGGCAGTGCTGGCGTTCTGGATGGTGGCCACAGGTAGCACTGTACCTTTCAGCCTTGTGCCATCGCCCAACTGCACACTCACCAACTTTGGGCCCTCAGGGGCTGGGACTGCAGGGGACAGCTTCAGGAGGCTTGCCTCAGCCAGGAAGGCCCCCTCAGTCAAGGGGGCAGGGGGATCAGGGTTAGAGGGGACCCGGGTTACAGTCCTCGTGATATTTCCACAGGATGTTTTAATGGTCTTGATCCGCACCTTGAGGGGCCGAGAGGAGCTAGAGGAGGCAAGGGAGTCATTGCTGTCCTCATCTGCAGCCTCAGCTCCACTAGAAGGACTCTGGGGACTTCTAGGACACTTGACAACTGGGTCCTCCTCTTCTTCCTTCAGGGGTTTGCAACTGGGCAAATGAGGAGAGGCAAGAGGGCTCTGGTGCCCCGGAGACTGCTTGAAAAAGGGTACCCCATCAACCTGGATAGGTGAGGCACCTGCAGGGACACCTGTGACCTCAGGACTAGAGCATGGGCCTCGCTGGTCTTGGCCCTCAGGATGAAGAGGACTGCAGCTTTCTTGCTTCAAGGCTCCAGGGCATGAGGAGGAGCTCAGTGGCAGCAGCACTGGGCCATTCTCTGGGGCCAGCTCAAAGGGTGAGGGGAAAGGTGGGGGGGTCACTGCCCCCCCATGAGGTGGGGAGGGCGCAACAGGAGGTAGAGGATCTGAGTGCTCTCCTGGCTCAGGCCCAAAATGAGCAAAAATGCCCAAGGGGGCTTTGCCTTCCATAGCTTTTTCCTTCCAGGTACCTGTGCTGGGAGGACCTGGGGAGTGGGGAGTTCCTGAAAGGGATGACTCGGAGACCCCAAATCCATTCTGCATCAGAGAAGCCCCTGAAGTTCCTTCCTTAGTAACTCCCCTAGCCCGAGCTGCTTCCCCTCCTGTAGCACCTGCCAGGGCCTCAGACTGCTCAGGACACACAGTGTTCTTGACAATGACGCTGACTGTGGAAATGTCTGGCAGTGGCAGGCCATGGTCAGAGGCCTGGGCTGGAACCTGAGGGTCATCCCCGGCTGCTGCTGCACCTTCAGATTCTCCTGCCACTCTGGGCTCTGGCTTCCCTGGGGCTCCTGGTTCCTCACTATCTTCTGGCCCAGAGTGGATGGCTTCATTCGCATCGATGTCAGGGATGTCAAACGCAGCAAGGAGGTCATCAAAATCAGGGGTCTTCATGTCCCCCATCGCAGTAGGTCCCAGACCTGATAAAACAGCAAGAAAAAGGAGAAACTGAGATGTCTGCACAAGAGACCCTGGACCTCTTTCCTCAAGATCTCTGGACTTTTCCTCTCCAGATAGGTATACCCCCACCAGACTGAGTGCTGAAGAGTGCAACTGCTGGTGTCCTAAACCCTAACAGCAGAAGGCGAGTGTGTCCACACCAGCACAAGCAGGGAAATCCACAGTAAGCAAAGGAAGAGACTGCATAGAAAAGGGAAGAGAAATGGGCACTGGGGGCTCAGTAGGCATCTTCGTTGAAACCAGCTCATCCATTCCTATGCTCAGCATAGAACCAATAAATCGATACTAATACTGAGGAGGAGGATGAAAACAATGCTGTAGGTCAAAGGCCCATTAGTGCATGGGACCAAGTCATATTCTTCATAGATCTTCTGGGGCCACAGAGATCTGACCAGCCAACTGCAGAAAGGAGCAATGACTTAAGCCAAGACTTAAGAAACTGTTCTATTTATCTTTATGGTAGGCCTGCTGCATACGCAAATACTTCTGCCTTTTGCCATTTGAAAGAGGAAAAAAGTAATTCATACATCAAAGAGTTATTTGGAGCATGAAATGAAATTGTAAACATGCAGGTCAGACCCAGAACACAATTTACTATTACAGCTGAGTCAAACATGAAGCATGAGGTCAAGAAGTGGGGAGAATACACATTGGATGTCTAGTGCTGGGGTCAGACATGAGGCAAGGCCTCTTCAGTCAATCTGGGACACTTGGGATCACCACTGACACTGAGATCTAGCTTTGTCAGCAGGAAGAATGGACTCGGGATGATCACCCTAGAGATCAACAGGTAAAGAATAAAACACAGGAACAGAAAGAGACAAAGAGAGACACAAGGGAAAGCAGTGACAGCAACCTGGCCACAAGGGCCCCAACCTAGGCCTCATTCATCACAAACACCTGCTGCTTGCTCACCTGCCTTCCCTAGAGCACCCACATCCCTCCTCCCCGCTCACCCTCTCAGGATTCCAACTCCAGGGCACAGCTGCCGCCTGGGGAAAGCTGGTTCTCCACCCACCCGAGTGTCACTGTCACTCCTTCTCTGGGCTCCTCACCCTAGTCTCAACCCCAATCCTCTCCAGTGCAAAAGCCCCATGAGAGTCACATGGTGACAAACCAGCACCGAAGACAACTCACAAACTGGAGAAGCCCCAGGTCTGTCCCCTACCACACTCTCCCCACATGCATTTCTGCACCTCAGAAGAAGCAACTCAAGCTGCCTCTATTTGTACACATTCCCTGCCCAAGATGTAAGCATCTCCCAGGGCCAATTCTCTCACCTCTTTCCAGCTTGAGACTGTAACTGGAGACAGTCCCAGCAGGTGGCAGCTGGCACTGCCTGAACCAGGGGTGCGGGGGTTGGGGGTGTACCAACTAAAGGAAAAAAGGGGAGTCTTTCTTGCACCCTGCCCCCTACTTAGTTCTGCAGACTCTTGAGTTTAAACAAAGCCCTTGCCTTTACTCTGCCGAATCCCTAAGGCCCTCCTGAGCCTGGCTCCCTCCCACCCAGGAGAGAGGACAAGAGAAGTGGCCTAGTGGAGCAGGGACCAGTGGGGAGTCGCAGCTACCTCGCCCTCCAACGCACAAGTGACTTAGAGGTCACCGGATAGCCACCTGGAGCAGATAGTACAGCGAGCAGTGAGCTCAAGGCCAAGGAGGCGTCCCTATCCCCCCCTTCCCCTCCGCCCCTGCTCCCTTTTCGCTCTGTTCTTCCCCAAAAGCCGAAGGAAGGGGCTCAAAGTGAAAACCCCTGGGTCGGGCGGATGCTCATTGCCCTTTGCCTGGACCTAGGGCCTGCTGCGCAGCAGAGGGCGAGGGGCCGACACCCGCCGGGGGCGATTAGGTTGCGGCCAAGCTGGGCGGCGGGCGTTATTAAGTCCCTGCCATCTGCCAAGGAATGGCGCGGAAGCAAGTCTGGGATTTCGGGAAGGGGGCTGTATGTACACAAGAGAAGCCAAAGGGGAAACTGAGGCGAGCGCTGTTTGCTTTGCTCCCACAGGCCGAGAAGTGAAGAACTGGCCTCGGCCAGGCCACAGGCCCTCTGGGAACAGCCGCGCAGCACCTCGAGGCCCAGAGCACACGGCGTAGGGGAAAGACTGCGGAGGGGGAGGGGCGGCCCCCGCGCGACTCCCAGCTCGCAGCCCGGTCAGTCCAGCTCGGACCTCGGCCCCTGCCAGCCTTGTGCGGCGCACCTCTTCCAGCGCGGACCCTGGAGGCTCCCCCGGCAGCGGGGACGGCGAAAGGCGCGCGGCGGGCCCTGGGTGCAAGTCGGGAGTCCCGTGGGGCCGGACGCTGACCCGCGCCCCAGGGGATGCAGGCTCCGCTCAAGCCCGGCCCAGCTTCCCCACCCCCATCTCTGGGCTCGGACACCATTTTAGGTCGCGACATCCCGCAGCCTGCAGTCCTCGGACGGCACTACGGCTGCCTCTCGGGTCGGGGGCGCCAGGACTTAAGGTCCCCGACCCTTCCTTCACGTTTACCGGGCTAAGGGCTATGCTTTCAACAGGCTGGGAGTTTCGCCCATTGCCCCCCCTCCACCCCGTGACAGAGGAGGTGTCTGGGCCTTCCTAGAAGCCGCCCCAGGGGGCGGCACGGAGAAGAGGGTAGTTGCCCAAGTGGGGGAGGGGCGGGGGCTTTTACCCGCCCCCCGGGGGGGCGGAGCCGAGGGCGGGTATTTACCTCGGGCACTCTTACTTGTTCCGTTCCTACTGCGAGCCGATATGCAGCGGTCTCTACTCTGCTCCAGCAGCAGCCACCGCCACCGCCCTCCCCGGGGCCGCCGCTACTTCCTGCTTCTCTCCGGTTCGGCCTCCCTCCTCCCCGAGTTCCCTCCGCGCTCCTGGCCTGAGCAGCCCGCTTTCACACTCGCCATTGGCCAGTTACTCCGTCGTTCAGCTCTGGGCCCCTCCCTGCCCCGGTCTAGGTTGGTCTTAAGTACTGCCGCTCGCAACTAGCCCCGAAGAGTCCGCTCATCCTCATTGGACCAGGAACCTAGGCCCCCTGAAGCAGCCTCTCCCCATTGGCTGCTTCAGAGTCTACATGCCCGATATGCGCCTCTCAAGAGCGATTGGCCATCGCTACTGTCGCTCTCAGAAAGAAGCCACCCTGATTCCCCGTTTTCCGACCGCAGGGGTAATTCTCCCAGGTGCGACTCCGCCTCCTCACCCTCTATTGGCTGCTCGAGGCTGCAAGCTGCAGTTCACTTATGCAAATTTAAAGAACTCAGCTTCAGTGCGGTGGGAACTTTGAGGAGAATCTTGTCGACTCCAAGGAGACCCTGGATCTTTAGATCTGTTTGCGCCGTTTTCTCGGGGGCTAACCCCCAAAGTCAGTGATGCAGTGCACAAGTCGCAGAATGGGCCGCAGCTCCTAAGCATGACGTCATCGGTTGACCACTGCCTCACGCTGTGCCCACTGCCTACAGCGTTGTGTAACCGGACGCGTGGAGCTCGCGCGCCGCCAGTCCCAGGCGATGGCGTCACCTGCAGCTCCTCCCTTCTGCGGAGAGGCTCGGACGGGTACGGGATTTGGAACGTGGAAAAGACTGGGACCTGATAGCTGGGCCGGGCTTGCGGACCGGAAGTGGGGGAGAGGTGACGTTGGGAGTGTCAGCGTGGCCCGGCCGCTCCGCAGGACCGGAAGGTCGTTCACGGATAGGTCTCGGGGCGCGGGAAAGAGGAGGAGCCCCGAGCGTGCGCCTCTGCAGGCGGCCGTGGCTGCCCGGTTGAGCTTTCCCGCGCTTGGTTGCACCGTCCCCTGTAGGCGGGGAGAGGGAGGAGCTGCTCCGTAGCTACTAGCTTAGCCACCAGTTAGTCCGCCACGCTCGCAGCGATTGTCTGCGGAGGCACCCTGCCTCGCGAATTGAGAATGGCAAAAGGCATCTGTTATCTGCCAGGACTCTGGACCAGGACACGGACGCGCCCCGAGTTTCCGTGGCTACAAAGACCACATCAACGTGTTACAAGCTTCTGGATAGGAATCTTGGGGTCACACTGTAAGGGTGGCATCGGACAAGTTGCACGACCTCCCTATTTTCTCATGGGTATGATCTGGCAAGATTGTTTCTGTGAGGAAAGTTTAGAATGTACACATGCATTGGGGCTAGGGATTTAGCTCATTGGCTTAAGTGCCTGCCTGGTAAGCACAAAGACATGAGTTCAATCCCCAGCATCACAAAAAAAAGAATGTACACATGCATTATAAAGTGGTAGCAAATGGGATAGTGTAGCCCACCTTCCCTGCCCTTTCCCAGGATGCTTGCCATTGCTCCAACTCACAAGACACTTCCTTCTCAACTGATCTAGAGCCTGCTACTTGGGAGGCTGAGGCAAAAGGCTGTCTGTAACGAAAACCTGTCTCAAAATTTTAAAAAAGGTGGGGACATAGTTCAGCTGTCCCTGTTTTCTATCCCCAATACTATAAATTAATTCTAAGGGCCCAGAAAGCTAAACACTGAGGGTTCTGAGGAAAAACTTGTTCTTCAACTAGGCACACTAATGAATATTTCGGCTACTGTCGTGGTGTATGCATGTAATTCTAATCAGGAGGCTGAAGAAGGAGGATCATGAATTCCAGGCCAACCTGGGCAACTTAGTTAGACCCTGTCTCAAAATCTTAAAAATAACAAGGGCTGGGTATATAGCTGTGCTAAGGCTCTGGGTTCAATACTCACTATCTTTTTTTTTTTTTTTTTTAAATTGGTACCGTGGATTGAACTCACAACCTCGCACTTGCCAGGCAGGTGCTTATACCACTGAGCTAAATCCCCAGCCGGCCTCAATACTTACTATCACATGCACACACAAAAAAAAGGTAGGCATGGTGGCTATATCTAGATGTCTCATTCACTCATAGGTGGGGCTGAATCAGGGCTGTGTCATAACTAAATTAGTCCACTGATTGGCTTAGCATACCTGTGGGAGTAGATAACAGGAAAGCCTACCCTCAATATGGGTGCCACTAACCAGCAGGCTTGTGGCAAGACCCTGTCTCAAATAAATGATTGAATGGACAATGAATAGGGATGTAGTTCAATGGTATGGGCTTGCCTAGCATGCACAACCCCTGAGTTCAATTCTGTGATGGTTAGCCTTAGTTACATCAAACTGAATGTTTTAAGAAATGGCCTTACTGGGCCAGGGATTTAACTCAGCAGCATAAGCGCCTGCCTGGAAAGTGTGAGGTCATGAGTTCGATCCCCAAAACCAAAAAAAAAAAAAAAGAAATGACCGTAGTAAAATATGCTTCTGGGCGTGTCTGTGGGTCTGAGGTGTGGATACTATATGATACTATATGAGATACTACATCTTAGATACTATATGAGATCCTTGCGGGGTTCTTTGTTGGTTCCCCTCCTCTCTCCTTCTCCAGTGGCTAAGAGCTAAATATCTTTCCTCTGCCTGCCCTTCTTCCAGCCTAAACCTTTAAATCATGAGTCAGGTATTATGTCCAGCAATGAGAAAACTGACTAATATAAATCCCTAGTGCCAAAAAAATAATAACAATACAATTCAACTAGTATTTCTTTTTTCTTTTTTTGAGACAGGGTTTCACTATGCAGTTCAGGTTGACCTTGAACTCATTTTATAGCCTACACTGGATTTGAACTCAGAGCAATCCTCCTGCCTCCGCCTCCTGAGTGCTGGCGATACAGACATACATCACCCAGCCCAGTTCAACAAATATTTCTTGAACACATCTCTGAGTTACAGTTTTTCCAGCACTGGTGATACAGCAGTGGACATAGCAGACAAGAATCTGTCAATAAGGACAACTGGAGTCCCAGATACTTGCCAGGCTGAGGCAGGAGAATCATTGGAGGTCAAGTGTTTCCAGTCAGCTCGGGCAACATGGTGAGAGATAGTCCTTATCATGAAACACTTTTTTTTCCCCTTTTTTGCCGTGCTGAGGTTTGAGCACAGGGTATATGAAGGCTGTACCACAAGGCAGTATCCCAGCTCCTTTTTACTGTATTATATTATTTTAAGAGAGGGTCTTCCTAAGTTTTATATTGTTAGCCTCAAACTTGTGATCATTCTGCCTCAGCCTCCCAAGTAGCTGGAATTACAGGAGTGCACCCCTATATCTGTCATAAAACACACATTTCTGTGTAAAAGGCAAACAATAGAAATAAGTAAACTATATAGAAGCGTGTTAGAAAAGATAACTGCCAAGAAGGTAGAGCTCTCAAACCATGAGAAGACACAGTGACCCTTTGATGCATATGATGAAGTAAAAGAAGGCAGTCTGAAAAGTTAGCTACTGGGACATTTTGAAGAAGGCAGAACTACAGAGAGGAAAAAAATCAGCAGTTTCCACGGGCTTGGATAGAGGGAAGGAAGGATGAGGGCCTCAGGGGATTAAAACTATTCTGTGTGATCCTGCAATAGTAGATATGTGGGGCCAAGGATTTAGCTCAGCAGCATAAGCACCTACCTGGCAAACGTGAGGTCATGAGTTCACTCACCAGTACCAAAAAATAATAATAACAGTGGATATGTGACATTATGCACTTGTTAAAAGCCACAGAATGTACAATAAAGAATAAAGTGTGGCTGGGTACACATCCATAATATCAGCATTCTGGAGACTGAAGCAGGAAGATCACTGAGTTTGAGGTCCAACTTGGGCTACACAATTTAAGAACAACCTAAACTATGGGGTAAGACCCTGTCTCAAAGAAAATGAAGCATAATGTCAACTTGACTTAATGATAATATATCAGTATTGGTTTAGACTGAAACCTACCATACCAATGCAACTTATTAAGAAGAAAGTCAAGGGAAGAGATCTATGGGAACTGTCAGTACTTTTACGTTCAATTTTGTTAGTATACTTAGAAGGTCTCTAAGGAATTAAGTATAGTCATTTTAAAAAACAGAATTTTGGGGGCTGGGGATTTAGCTCAGCAGCATAAGTGCCTGCCTTGCAAGCGTGCAGTTCGATTCCCAGTACCAAAAAAAAAATTTTTGGACCAGGGATTTAGCTCAGCAACTCAAGCATTTGCCTAGTCAGTATGATGTCGTGAGTTCAATCCCTGGTACAAAAAAATATAACAGCAATAAAAAAAAACAATTTTAAAGCAGGGAAGAAAGCAGGAAATGTGGGAGGGCTGTAATTTTAGATAGGGTGAACAAATGATGGCCTGGGAAATCTGGTGTGGCAGGGAGTGAGAGTGTGAGCCCTGCAGCCACCTGGATGAGGAGTAGTCCTAGAAGCAAAAGCAGGACAGGGTTCCTCAAGTGGGAAGAGGGCACTGGGACTGGGTTGAATTGGACTCGTGGATGGTCTTTGGCATTTTCTGAGTGAAACACAAAACCATGCAAAAGACAGATGGAGCCAAGGAGCCACTCTGGCAAAGAGCTTGCTAGCATGTGTGAAACCCTAGCTTCCTTTCTTAGCGCCACAGAGAGCAGCTGATGACATGTTGACCTGACTTTTAAAAGGGCTGAAAGTAGGGTAGAGAAAGAGACTCAAATGCGCAGTAAAAATGATACTATCATTTCCTGAGCTGTGAAGACACACGAAGAAGCAGGTTTCAGGCATTAAGTTGTTAGTACCCTTTCTATCACAGTCTTACACAGCTAAGTGGACATAGAAATGTGACCGTGCATCAGATTACAGATAGCACTAAAGAACAACTCAGGGTATAGGAGATCACCAAGGGAGTGTGTGGAGATGGAAAAGAGAAAACCCGTGAACAGAGCCTCGTTGGAAGACCAAAGGGATGAGAACAAGAAAAAGAGGCTGAGAAAGAACAAACAGGAAGGAGGGGACAAGAAGAGTGTTGTTGGGGCTGGGGATTTAGCTCAGCAGCATAAGTGCCTGCCTTGCAAGCAGGCAGTCTTGAGTTTGATCCCTGGTACCGATTAAAAAGAAGAAGGAGGAGGAGGGGGAGGGGGAGGGGAGGAGGAGGAAGAAGAAGGAAGAAGAAGAAAGAGAAGAAGAAGGAAAAAGAAAGAAGAAGAAGGAGAAGAGTGTTGTGTTTCAAAGCAGAAGAAAAAAGATAAACTGTCAAATGCCACTAAAATATCAAAAAGGATGAGAAGCCAGGGATGGTCAGGCATGCCTGTGATCCCAACTCTGGGAGGCTGAGGCTGGAGGATCACAAATTTGAGCCCAACCAGGACAACTTCGTGAGACCATTTCAAAATTAATAATCAAGTGCACAGCACCTGCCTGGCAAGTGCAAGGTACTGAGTTTGATTCCTGGTACCAAAAAAATAAGAAAAGGCTGGGAATGTACCTCAGTGTGAAAGAGCTCAAAGAAGAAGGAAGAAGAACCAGTTTTCATTCTAAGAGTGAGAATGACAGAAAGTGTAAGAGTCTGAGGACAGGAAAGTTGGGAAAGAAGCATTCAGGAGAGAAGAGTAGACCAAGAGAGGAAACCAAGGGGCTGAGAGGCCAGCAGGCTAAGGCTGTTTTGCAGGGATGTTGAAATCAAGAATCGTGTTAGGGGGGCTGGGGGTTTAGCTCAGTGGCGTAAGCACCTGCCTTGCAAGCAGGCAGTCGTGAGTTCGATCCCTGGTACCGATAAAAAGGAAA